TTACAGAATCTCCCCCTCTAGCTGTAGTCCCTGGCAGTATACTATGGCCTCGATAAAAACCTCACCCTATAAGAAAGGAAAAGAGTATCCGTAGTAGTACTTTTATTAGATTCATATAGTGATTTGATGAATATTAGTGATCTGGAGATGAGATGAATTAATTCATTATTATCGTATACGTGTGTTCTACCAGCTTTTATTAGGTTCCTATTAACTATCCCTTGCTTCGGGGCTGGGTGTCTAGCAAGGGCGGATGGCTAGCTATCCCTACCACCTCCTACCCGGAGTACTGTCCGTACCAAGGTAACTTCGTAGGCCCCTTATCTAATAATAGTAAGATACTTAGTATACGCCCTTATATCTAATATACCCCCTTAGCTTGGTGCGTTGTCGCTACCTAAGCTAATTAATTAGGCGATTAATCGTTAGAGTACTTAGTGAAGGTAGTCCTATATCTTATTAAGTGGTGTAGTTCTTGTCACCTCTATACTTATTACGTCAACTAGGCCTAGTTAATTAAGTAGGCCTTGCCATTTATTAGCTGGCAGCACCTTTATAAGTCCATTAGTAATTATGTCGTCCAATCTAATATACTTAATGGTGATCGTCCTAGTGGCGACCTCTTATCTCAGCTAGTGGGTGTGGATATCCACATATTAAAGCTTAGTCTAGAGTTTTAATACTTCCTATGTGACTAGTCGAATTATCTATTTATTATTATATTGGATTGTGATTATAGTGCTGGGTAGGTTGATCCTCAGTTTCTTTAATAATCGGGAGAGATATATTGCTTCCTTAGCCACTTATGTAAGGGCTAGGAGCTCTACCTTAGTTATTAACGTTATAATAGTATCCTGTTTGTTTGCTCGCCATGCGATTAAGCCACTAAATAGCTTAATTATATATCCTTAAGAGCTTTTCCAATCTAGAGTATTATTGGCAAATAAGGCGTTACTGGCGACCTAAAGGGTATCTCCACCTCCTAGCTATAGGGCCTTTTACCTTGTTACTCTAAGGTAGAGGAGTACTCGATTAGCTATATCATAGTGCTCTTGGCCTAGGTTTATAAGGAATTGGGCCAATTATGATATGGAGAAAGCGATATCTAGGCGCGTTGTTATGGCGGTAAATAGTAGGGATCTAATCTTC